GAGAGAGAGAAACACCAATGATGAGAGAGAATCATTGATCAGCTGCCTCCTGCACGCCCCACACCGGGGATCAAGCCTGCAACCCAGGCATGTGCCCTGACCAAGAATCGAACCAAGACCTCCTGGTTCACAGGTCAACGCTCAACCACTGAGCCACTGGCTGGACTACAAGAGTGTTCATAGCAACTTTACTTCTAATAGCTGCCACTTTGAAACCGCCCAGATGCCTGTTAGCAGTAAAATGGAGAAGTATCATGTGGTCACACCGAGGAATATTACACAGCACTGAAAAGGGAGTGGGCTACCGATACACCCAACAACACAGATGGATCCCACAGACACGCAATGAATGCATGGATGAAGCCAAACACAAAAAACACAGACTGAATAATTCAGTGGGTGAGGCGAAGGGCTGGAGGCGATTCATTAGGTCAGCGGTTCTCAACCTGTGGGTCGCGACCCCTTTGGCGGTCGGACGACCCTTTCACAGGGGTCGCCTAAGACCATCCTGCATATCAGATATTTACATGACGATTCATAACAGTAGCAACATGACAGTGATGAAGTAGCAACGAAAATAATTTTATGGTTGGGTCACAACATGAGGAACTGTATTTAAAGGGCCAGAAGGTTGAGAACCACTGCCTTAGGTGATTCTAATGGTTCCCAACTTGGCCCTCAGCGCGCTCATGCTCGGAATCTGGGCTGCAGGGGGTGCTGGGGTGTCTGTCTGCCTCAGGTGGGGGTGAGAAGGGGCCGCTGGAGGGCCTGTCACCCCCCCACCTGGTGGCAGGTGTCTCTCTCCAGTACCCCAGTCTCTGTGAGGTGCACAATTCCTTAGCAGCTGTGACATATGAACCGTTTTGGAGGTTTTGTCCTGTTTGTGGGTGTGGGGTGTCTACTATTTCAACACCTCTCTTCCTGCGTCTGGTCCTGGGTTTGAGTGGCTGTGTCTGTCTGTCTAGGTTTCTTTTAAAAATGCAAGTCAGTGCACATCTCCCCGCTGTTCAGAACCCTGCATGGCTCCCTCCTCACTCAGCACCAGCGTCCTCTGCCCCCCTCATAGGGTCTCACACTGTCTGGCCCCCATCCCTCCTCTGGCCTCATCCCCTCCTTCCCCTGCTCACTCAGCCCACTGCCTCTTCGCCGGTCCTGACACCTCGAACACGAGCCAGCCTCAGAGACCTCGCTCCTGCTGTTCCTTTCTCCTCGGGATCTCCTCCACACACCCCTTCTCTCTCGAGGGGTCCACCCCGATGTCCTCTTCTCTGAACATCTTACTCACAACGCACCAGCCCTCTTGGGGGAGTCCCCAGCCGCTTCCCAGATGAGAGGACCGAGGCTCAGAGAGGGTCAGTAACTTGCCTGAAGTCCCCCAGCAGCAACTCTGGGGCTCCTCCCCGTCCTCGTTTCTCTTTCCAAGAGTGGCCCTGACTTCCAGCGCCTCTGCCCCACCCCTGCGTTGCCATGGTAACCCAGCAACCCATCGAAAAGGAACTGAGAGAGGAAGGGAGGGGTCCTGCTAGCCTCCACCAGCCCTGACCCCTCTCGGGCCACCAGCCTCTCTTCTCCCAGCACCTGCCATTTTTGTCTGAAGCAAGTTCTCCGAGAGTCTAGCCCACAGCCTGCTCCCAGCACACCCACCTCCTCACGCACGCACTCCCGGGCGGGAGGGGAGCTGGCTTCTCCTGGAGAGGGAGGCAGAATGTTGGCAGAACCTCCCTGAGAAGGAGTGTGTGTGTGTGTGTGTGTGTGTGTGTGTGTGTGTGTGTGTAGGCGGGAGAGAGGGGTGACTCTTAAAGGGCCACCGCACAATTAGCCCCCACCGGCAAGTCCCCTAATGATATGTCTAATTAGCAGCCCCCTAATTAGCAACGACTTAGGCATAATTACAAACCCACCAGGATCCAAAGCAAAGACTCACGCTCTTCTCCCTCCCTCCTCCTCGGCTTTCAGGAGGAACACGGGCCACCTGGGAGCCAAGCCCTCCTCGGAAGCATCTCACTCCCTCTCTGTGGCAGGGCCATGGCCCGCGATCCTCCCTCAAGTCTGACCACCTGTCCCACCCCCTGGTCGCCAGGGGGGCCGGGGCCCGCCCAGGGCTGCTGCGCCTGCTCTCCTTGCCCAAGGAGCAGGCTGGTTCCCTGCCTTTCCCTCAAAAACCTGGTTTCCTCTCACGGAGGCCTCGGGGGAGGAGAGAAAGCACAAGATAAATATTTGTGAAATGAACAGCCGCGAGGTCTGCGCCCTGCGGCTGGGACAGCTGAGCTCCCCTTGTCTGCCTCTGCCTCTCTGTCCATCAGCGAAACTGAAACCTAATCTGGGCTGAGCATCCAGGGGCGACAGGATCAGGTGGAGGCCAGAGGCCAGGGAGGGAGCCGGGAGGGCAGATGGCCGGCCCCATCTCCGGAGCCATCTCTCTTCTCCCTCTGGTGGGCTGGCGGCCAGCTGGGTCAGTGGTGAGCACCCCGCTTCTGCCCCACACGCCTCTTGGGACCTCAGCGACCTCCTCCGCAGAGCGGGGCTGCAAGCCTGAAGGGGTCCAGTCTGGCGTGAGGGAAGGGTGGGGCCTCTTCCCTCAGGCCCCTCACACTGGGGAGGGTGGCGGTGGTTCCTAACTGTGCTTGTGGGGGGCAGGGGGTGCCCGCCACCCCTTGCACAGATGTGCAAGGTGGGGACCCAGGCTTCGAAATGTGCACATTTACTGCTGCAGGGTGAGCCATGTGTCAGCCTGGGGATCACACACATGTGCACCACACACACATACACACAGGGTGAGCTATGCAATGTCCCAGCCTGGGGATCACACACATGTACATGTGCACACACACACACACACACACAGGGTGAGCAATGCAATGTCTCAGCCCAGCCTGGGGATCACACACATGTACATGTGCACACACACACACACACACGGTGAGCCATGGGATGCCTCAGCCTGGGGATCACACACATGTGCACACACACCCAGGCACACACTTGGTGAGCCATGGGATGCCTCAGCCTGGGATCACACGCCATGTGTGCACACACACACACACACACACACACGGTGAGCCATGCCATGTCCCAGCCTGGGGATCGCACACACAGTGCTCGTGGGTGAGCTGCAGCCTCAAGTCGGGGGCAGAGCAGAGATGGAAACTCCTCTCGCGGGACTCTTGACCGGTGCTCTTTTAACCCAGCCGGAGCCACGTGGCACCTGGACACTCACCCGTCGCAGCGGGCTCACCCCTCTCCCTTGCCGCTCACTCCAGCCCACTTTCTCTGGGGCCCCTTCCCTCCAGGAAAGAGGGTGCCCTGGCGGGCCGGGGCCTCTAGCCTCTGAAGGGCCCTCCCGGACCCACCAGGGGCGGTAGAGGAGCTTCTGAGCTCTGTCCCCGTGAACCACGGAGAGACCGTCTGAGGCCGGCACACCATGAGCCGGCGGAGGGGAGGCTGCAGGAGGGGCTGGCGGGGCCTGAGCCAGGACCTAGCGCTGTGCCTGGAGTAGGAAAGGTGCCCAGAAATTGTGAAAAGGCTGAACTGCGAACGGACAAACAGCAAGACGTGTGGAGGTTAGACTGCAGGCAGGACTGGCCGTCCATGCGAAGAGGAATGGGGAGGTCGGGCAGAAGGGCTGGTTCCGTCTGCTCTACACTGGGCACAGGTCAGGGCGCAGGTTAGGGCACAGGTTAGGGGGCAGGTTAGGGTGCAGGTTAGGGCGCAGGTCAGGGCACAGGTTAGGGCGCAGGTCAGGGCGTAGGTTAGGGTGCAGGTTAGGGCGCAGGTCAGGGCACAGGTTAGGGCGCAGGTCAGGGCACAGGTTAGGGCTCAGGTCAGGGCACAGGACGGACTGGCCTCAGAGCCAGACCCAAGGCGGGGGAGGAAGGAGCTCCATCTTCAGGGGAGGGTCGGGAAGGCGGGGAGGTGCGGCGGGGAGGATGGGAGGGACCGGGCTGAGGAAGGGAGAGGAGTTTGGGGGACTCCTCGCCTTCTGGGGGAGCCCACTCCGCAGGGCGTATCTTCTTCCTCCAGGTCTCCCCCGGCCAGGGGCGGGGCCAAGGTGTGTAGGAGAGCGAGCGGGCCGCCGCGGGGAGGAGGCAGGGAGACAGGCAGACAGACGCCTGGACAGATGGAGAGGCGAGAGGGGAAGGGGCAGCAAGAAGGGGGAGACGCGGTGACAGCGGAGACGGAGACAGACCGGGGAGAGCGGAGACGGGAAACGCAGATGGCGAGGGGGGTCGGAGGGGAGCGGTGGCGGCCGCGCGGACCGGGCACAGCGGGATCGCAGGGCAG